AGGCAAAAGCCTCATGAAATAGATGTCCAAATCATTAGAACACTAAGTAGAAATTAATTAACCTAATTAATTAATTTCTCTAGAAATCAAAGTTTTCCAAAAATTCTCAAATTAATATATGTGAATGTCCATTCTATGGTGATTGCAAATATCACATCAATTTCACAAAGTGAACAAGATATAATCATGTGGAATTTAATTAATTTAAATCAATTAAATCTCTAGATTTCAAAAGTTGTTCAAATGACCCCAAATAAATATATGTCAAGGATTAAGTCATGGACATGCCATATATCAAGTCAAAAATGGAAAATAAGTAAGGTACAATTAACTAGAATTTAAATCAAATTAAATTCATTAAATCTCTATATTTGAAAACTCATTCAAATGGCTCCAAATAATTATATAATAAAGATCAAGGCCATGTCATATATCAAGTCTAAAGTGAGTTGTATGCAAACTATGATTCATCATTAATTTCATAAATTGATATAAAGCATGCATACAACTTTTATTTCATACAAAAGCAAGTAAAATCACTTGAAAAATAAATTATAACACCCCCTACCTCACAAAAGGATTGTTCCTCTTGAATCCAAGACTAGCAAGCACAAAATGGTAAACCCTTCTAGGGTTATGTAGAGGAGGATGAGGGGAACAAAAAGTGTTCCAAGCTTCATGATCTAAGGTGAGTGGAAGGGCCTCAAAAATCAAGGTTAAAATTTAAGCATCAAACTCCATCCATGGAGGCTAGGGTTTTCTTGTAAGGAAGAGAATGAAATAATGAGATGAAGTGTGAGTGGAGGAATTAGAAATCCTCCACTCACTATGTGATCTTACACCATGGTCCACACACACAAGTCTTGGTCAATTGCACAAAAACCTTTCTTTAAAACCATAATCCCAAAGTGGCCCAAAAATAATTACAAGACTAAATTGTGAGGCTACACTTGTCACAAATCTAAGGCTCCTTCCTAGGCTTAATCCCAAGCCTACACTTATCAACCATCTAAGCCAACAAGTGCACCAATCCTAGGCCAACAAATGGGTGAATCTACACCCTCCACATGTCATCATCCAAGGCATCTAAGTGTCTCCACACAAATGTCAACAAGTGGACCAATGAGAGTGTAACATTTATCACACTTTCGGGAAATTGAAAAAAAGTCCTTTTTGAAAATATCTTCCAAATTAAATTGTAAAATGGTCCCTAAGACGAAAAATAATCACTTTACATAATTACACTAAAACCCCAAAAACAAGAAGTTTCTAAAGAAAGTGTGCATCCACACCCCTAAGGAAGAAAAGTGCACAAATGGCATGCATTTCTAGGAAAGTAAAAATACACATGGCATGGAATTTAAATATCTTGGATGCATGCAAAACTGGAATCAAATCCGAACACGAAAGGTGAGGTTGTGCCAACAATTTGACAAATGAGAAAAAGACGAAAGATGAATAATGTCGAAAAAGTGAAAATGTAAAAATGACTCGGTTCTCAAAGGAAGTTGTCAATCCAAATGAAAGAGTCTTGGAAACCAATTCCAAGCACTCGAGACGATACTAAGTGACAAGAAACAGAACTCGGAAAAGAAAATTAAACGGAAAAAAATTATCCTTAAAATTTCAGAAAAAAGGAAATGAAGGAAAATGACTGGGTCATTACATAATCGTGATGAGTTACATGGCAAGAAGTTCCAGTTAAGGTGGAGCTTTGAAGGACAACAAGGGTGAGTTGTCATATTCAATTGCCGTGGGAAGTGTTGATTGACATAAAGGAATTCGAACCAAGGTAGAGATTGTTAGGATAATGTCTCAAATTCGTAATTACGTACGTTTTTATTTAAGAGTCTTGTTTAATTTTGTAATTTTTTGATAACTCATAATTGTAATCCTTGTTGAACAAGAAGTTTAGTTTTGGGCTCTAGAATTAGTTACATAGGTTATTTTTGAGAGTTATGAATGGGGCGCGAGGGGGTGAATACAATGGGTAGAGAGGGTTTACAAGTTTGTAATATAATTATAACAAATCTCTTCATCCATGGACGTAGCCCTGAGTTTGGGTGAACCATGTAAATCTTGTGTTGTGATTCTGTTATTGTTTTATTTGTTTTCAGATTGATTTCTTCGGTAAATTGTTTTGCACCCAACAGTATTAACCGTTAGATTTCATTGGGTTGTTAAAAAGGGTAGTTTATTCTTTTATATCCCACAGTTAAGATTTAATTCGTACATAAATTTCTTACACACCAGTGAGCAAGTGAGCAGTTCTAACATTATATAAATAAAATACTTGTTTTCAGAAATAATTAATTCAACTCAATATAATTCTCTCTTTTATCTCTTTCACATAATAACTTATTATGTGGAATCAAATTATAAACAATGTCAACAGTGTTCTAGGAGAATTCTTCCATAACCACAAATTTTGGTGATTTTGCTATATTTGAAAATGCTCTATAAAGGATCTAATAGCAAACTCAAATAGAATAGGGGCAAATAACACCTTAAGATAGGGGTGCATACGGTTCGGTTTGGTTCGATTTTGAGGAATTTTGGAACTAACCCACTCCTTACGTTCCAGAAAATTTGAAACCGAACCAGACCATTTGAGCCATATATGGAACCAAACCGGCCAGCCCAAACCGTGAAAAAACTATTTGGTTCAGCTCGGTTTCACGGTTCTAGTTGAATTTTATTTTCCTATTTTTTCCCCTTGAATTTTATATGCAACAAAAATAACAATAAAAGCATTCACAATCCTAAATCGAAAACTAAAATAGAAAGAGAAAAAGATAAAGGATAGTGGGTGAAATAGACCCAAAACCTAAACCCTAGAAATTAAAATAAGGTTGATCTTGCTAAAACTGAAAAGGATTACAAATTCGTGGTTGAAAACTAAGAAACTTGATTCGTTGTCATTATTGGTTGTGCTTGAGGAACAAACATGATATGAGACTCAGAGATTTGTGAACTAAAAGTGAGAAAGAAGGGGAGAGAGTGTGAGAAAGGATGTCACCGAAGGCAGCGATAAAACATCGACGGCGATGACCGAATTTCGAAGGTTATGTGAGAGAGATTGATCAACAACTGGATCATCCAAAAATCAAAACATTGGGAGAAGCAAAAGCAAATAAAAAAAAAATATCAGATAGTGATGAATGTTGGCTCACATTTAATCATTGTGCCGAAATCCCTTGCAAAGTTAAGAGTAGTATATAAGTATAGCTATATATATATATATATATATATATATATATATATATATATATATAAAACATATTATAACGGTTTGGTCTTGGCTGGTCCGGTCCTGTAAGACCTTAATCCGAGACCGAACAAAAATTTCACGGTTCCATTATTTTAGAACCGTAATTGGACCGAACCACTATGGAACTACCCAGACCGCTCTATTCGGTCCGGTTTGATTTTTCAAGTTAACGATTTTTTTGCACACCCCTACCTCAAGAAAAATGACTCACATAACTTCAAAGTCACATATTTATTTTCCTTCTTGGAATCACTATGCCGGCCTTAAAGTAGTTTTGATCAAAAGTATGTGATTGAAATAGCTCCAATTCAATTAAATGAATTATGCACCATCTTTAACACGGTTTTAGTATGATACTCTAAGCATTATCTAAGAACGGTTTCATTTTGCCTCTTGCTTATTCTGAATAGTAGAGATGACAATTTGTGTTTCATGCCATAGTTGTGTCGTGTCATGGCATGATTATCATGTAACATAGATCTGACGCGAATACAACATTATTATTAATCAAATAACACCCCACAATTTAAATAACCTAATAAATGAATCAAGACATAACATACCAAGCGAAACAATAAAAAAACTACTCTACATAATTAAATTTTATACTATTAGGATCATTTTAATCCATTTGGTACCCATTCAATTAAATGGGTTGGATCATAGTATTTGGTTGGACTTAAAACATTTAGTTAAACTTATTTAATCGGATTATAAATGAATTAGTGAGCCAATTCATACAAATATAATACATTTAATTAATGTGTTAATTTGAAACAATTAAGTCAAATCCAAATCAACTTATCCAATGTCATTTTTGTATAGTCTGAAGTGAAGTATGCCACCACCGATAAATCTCCTTGTACTGAAAGTCTTAATGAAAATGTCTAACCATGGCCAAATTCTTATTTGCCATGTCTCAGTCAATGAAAGGTTCACGTGACCCTACTAGTGCATTTTATATATTTCCGGTGTAAACGGAAAATTATTACTTAATTTTTTAGTAAACTAGAATACCTTCATTTTGCACCCATTGCAGTGCCAAATACATAGATCACATTTATATATTTAATAAAACACAAATATTATGTTCCGCGTCATTGAATTTAGAAAAAATTTAATGCTAAATTTAATATAAATTAAAAATTAAAAATTAAAAATTTTAAATTCAAAATACTGATTTAGTGCAGTTAATGCTGGTGTTCCAAAGAAAACTGAAATTGATGTCAATACTTGTTAAGAAAACACCAATTCCCTTGCAATGGTGCAGTAAAGATTGGTTCTTGATATTGATGGAAACCAGCAATATCTTCAACTATACTAATTGCATATATTTAAATTATATATGTCTTGGTTCATTAACCAAACCATCACTTCAATAAATTAAAATATTGTACAGTCTAATGTTAATTATGACAAAATTTAAGTATTCAAAGTTCTAAACACTACAAATTCAGAGCCCAAGTAATTGTAAATGTGAAGCAAACCCAGTTGGTTGCTGGCAAAAGTCAATAGCTGCAAGGAGTCACACACGTGGGCTAGCTTTGAAAGAGTTGGCTCTCTCTCTCTCTCTCTCTCTCTCTTATATTCCAAGCCATGCCTCCTATGAGGCTATATCACAGTCATATATGTATCAACAATAATATATATCACCATCTCACATACCCCTTATGTTTGTTCCTAATTATTAAAAAGCATTTACCTACTACTTCTTCCCCCATGTTACCTTGCCTTTTAAGCACTCTTTTCCCCTTCTGATTACCCTTTCTTTCTCCCTTCCCAACTATCTCCTTATCTCCCTTCATCTATAAACCCAAACACTAACAGTGGCATGCTAGCTAGCTTGAATGTCCAGAGAAAGGTAAACATACATAAAAAGATTATTGAACACAACTCTCTCTCTCTCTCTCTCTCTCTCTCTAGCTCTCTCTCCACCATATGACTCTTTTGCTATTCTCTAGCTCTAGTTGTTTTTCTTTCATTTGTTTTATATATGGATATGGAAAACCAATATATAAATACATTCCATAAATAGAAAATTTTGAGGATTGTCAATTAATCTCAAGAATCTCAAAAGATATTCAGGAGACGTAATATATACTTTATTATGTTAATTATTGTTTGTTAGGGAGAGATTTGATGAGACAGGAAAGAAGATCAAGAGAGATATTGATGCATCTTCTCAAATGGGAAGGAGACATTTGTTGAGTCCTCCAGTTGGAACCTTGAACACCATCACACCTTGTGCTGCATGTAAGCTCTTGAGGAGAAGATGTGCCGAAGAATGCCCTTTCTCTCCTTATTTCTCACCACATGAACCCCTCAAATTCGCCGCTGTCCACAAAGTCTTTGGTGCTAGCAATGTCTCCAAGATGCTCATGGTAAACCCTAATTCGCTCCCCTATACATAATCAATTTTTCTCTTTTCTGTTCTTTTTCTTTTTTTTTTTTTTGGTAAGAAAAAAAAAAAAAATTCTCTCTTTGATCAATATCTTAGCTTGAGAAATGAACAGTTTGATAATTTTATTTTTCTTTCTTTTAATGGGTAATTTAGGAGGTACCGGTGAGCCAAAGAGCCGACGCAGTGAATAGTTTGGTTTATGAAGCAAATGTGAGGCTTAGGGATCCAGTATATGGATGCATGGGTGCAATTTCAGCTTTGCAACAACAGGTTCAATCATTACAAGCTGAGCTTAATGCAGTAAAGTCTGAGATAATGAAGTACAAATATAGAGAGGCTGCTGCTAATTATATCATTGCTTCTACTCATGAAGATGCACTTGTCTCTTCTGAAGCCATATCGGTTGCTTCCCTGCCACACGCGGCTTCTTCTCAACATTCTCCTCCTCCACCACCACCACCACCAGGTCCACAACAACCTCCACCTTCTATTGTTGTTTCTTCTTCCTCATCTTCGTTGTATACACCGCCTTCTACTACATCAGGCTATGACTCCAATATTCCAAGTCATGATAACATTTCATACTTAATTTGATTAATTAGTATATTAACTCACTTGAACATTTCTCTTCAAATCGTGTTTGATGTTGTAGAAAGATTTTTTTTGATCAATTTAGTTTGTGTTTGATTTAAATCTTAGTATGAAACTCGATCCATTTGATGGCTGAGAAATCATTAGAGAAGAAAAAAGAACCTCACTAATTATTTTCCTCTTTTTTTCTTATGAAGGCCTTTAATTAATTAACCAAAAAGAGAAGTACAATTTAAGCCTAGGCCACACATTAAATAAAAGAATTCTCTTTTTCAATTGTTTCATTAGACTTCTGATCAAAAAAATTCAATTACTCGACCTATTTCCATATATAGTGTTTCAAAACTATGACATCCCTGAAGTGCAGAATCCAAAATGCTGAATTGAAAAGCTAGCCCAAAGAAATCAGTATATATATATATATATATAGGAGTGTTTGTATCATATATAATTCCAAATGGCATTACAAGAAATAAATTCAAAGGTATATGTTTGATTGATCTTTAGAGTACTCTATTTGTGTTCACATATTTATATATGTATATATTAGTATGTGCCATTGAAGGACTGGCCTGAATAATCAGTAAAGGACTTGGAGTAGACAAAAGGTATGGTAGTTGTGATTCTCCCCATATAAGGTTAGCAACTTTATGTAAAAGTTTGGCCATAAATGGAAAGCTGCAACTTTATTTCCTATCCCTTTTGTTTCTATCTTGTCAATTTTACCTGATTACCGCTATATGAAATGCAGATTATAGTCTTTACTTCATAGTTTGGTTTGAATTTTCTTATTTAATTTGCAATAATCATATTGGGTGTCAAATTTGTGTGATTTTAGGTTTTGTCTTCTGGTTATTGTTTTGGTACCATCACCATATTTTATTTTGATGGCAAATGTTAGATCGAAAAGGGTAATTTTCCGTTATTGTCAATGTGGTTGAAGTAGTATGCCCTTGTGCGGTTTATGTGTGCACCATTTATCTCAATTCGGGTATTGCTGATGCTTAACCCTGCTAATGGATGAAGCTTAAATTATTTTCTTTTTGTAGTTTTTTCACGAAAAGCATACATTAACTAAGATTTCGAATAGCGGTCCTGAATTCAATTGATAATGTATGAAGTATTGGCCCATTGTATGTTACTCAAGGTAAATCACACAATAAGAGGTTACAGATTATTGCTTGCAACATAATTTATCTATTTGATAATTTATAAATTTAGATCCACTATCTATAAATTAAAGGAAATCACAAACTATTGGTTTGGCCATTTTCATATTGTTCAGATGCTCGAATCAGTAAAATTAGAAAATTCTTATGAAGTTTCCAAAAAGTATAGCCAATAGAAATTGTATGTGATCAATAAAATGATTATTCAAGTTTTGTAGCTTTTTTTTTGGCATACATAACTACTCAAATTATATTTGAAATTTACTTCAAAAAAAAAAAAAAACTATCGTGAAGGCACTCTCACATATCCTTTGGCTCAAAAACGTTCAGTAGATGGCTGCTTATGAATGCCATAATTAGTATGGTCAAAGCACTACATAAGTTATGGTTTGGTTTATGGTGATATTGAAAACTATATATATATATATATATATATGGCTAGTCCAGTGTACGAGACTCCCGTTACAAGGTTGAGAAAGAGTCAAATGTACGCACCCTTACGCCCATACAAGCACAAATATTTGAACCATGTCCAATGTACACACAAGCACACACATAAATTTTTCGTTATTTTGCCAAGGAAGATCATGGTAAGGACCTCTAAAATCTTCTTCCAAGGATTGACCATGCATGAACTGCCATGAAGACATCTAGGTCACAAGTGTTGAAATATGAACTTCTGTTTCCAACCATCAGGCAACGAGAGAGTGGACACTGATTTTTGGACATGAATAATCAATATTGCAGTACCTATGGAGATCAATCATTCAATAGATCGCACAAAATTCCTCAGTAGGGTGTTTGTGGTTAAGTTTCAACCAGAAATAAAGCATATATAGTCAATGCCATTTTTCTTCTTTTTTGTGGTTTTATGTGCACATGTCAAGTTTCCTTTTCGTGTGGAGCTCATCCAGAGTGGGAGAGATGTGCTAGACTTGGCATTGGATTACATTATACAAAAAAACAAAAGAAAAAATTGTATGCGTGTGCGAGTTGTACACACACACACAAAACAATGTTGACATCATGAATTTTTCTTGATACATATGAGTATCGATTTCATATATATATATATATATCACAAGCAGCCTGCAGAGTTCCAATAGGAGTTGTTCACACACACACACAAAACAATGCTAGACATCATGAATTTTTTCTTGATATATATGAGTATCATTTTTCATACATATTTACATATATATATATGTGTGTGTGTGTGTGTATGTGTGTATGTATTATGTATATATATATGTATCACAACCAGCCTGCAGAGTTCCAATGGGAGTTGGTCTGACGTCGCGGTTGCTTGAAGTAGTGTCTTATTTGAGATTATATTTATTCAACAGTCAACACCAATCCACAGTTATTTATTCACACATGTGCCCTAAAGACTTTTGAACTCCCCTCCTTCTTCCGTCCAAAGCTTCCTTTTTCAGCTCTTTTACACAACAAAGTGAGAACTTGCTGAAAAGAACTCATTTTAGCTGAACAACTCACCACGTTCAATTTGATAATCAAATCCATATATTTATTTTATTTTTTTTAGTTAACTCTGGTGTCCGAGAAGGCACGAACATTTATGACTCATCAAGAACTTGACTGATCCTCGAAGATTCGAAAGGGTGCCTCCCCATTCAGGCAAGGTAAATGTCGCGAAGGCTGGCCACAAAGAACACCTAATAAGACTCAAACCCCAATTTTTTGGCTTGCTAAGCTTTAAAGTCCAACGAATAAACGGTTGAGTCATATTCGAAATGGATCAAATCAAATCCATATATTAACTTCAAAAGTTATATGAAAATGAATATAATATAGTTGAGGAATGGTATCTCATATATGTAAGATTGACCATTAATTGCTTAATTAATAACTATAAAAAAAATAATAATAATAAAACAAAACAAAAAAACTATTATATACTAATATTTAAATCTAAACAAATTTCAAGCCAAATATATATATATGCGCGCGCATGTAACGTTTATTCTATAATGAAACTTATGCTGAGAAGGACAAGGAGTGGAAGAAATGAAAGAGAGAGATGGAGGGATGGGGAATACTTATGTTTGGTTAAATTGAATGAAAGAAAAGATACGCTGCTATTAATTATTTTACTAATATATTCTTAAATACATAAATTAATAAATTTAAATAAGGGTAAGAACATCTTTTCATTTTTATAATATCAATTTTCCTCTTGTTTTTTATGGAAGCAAAATGGTGGAGCCAGAGAGATGCCCACCTCTCCCCTTATCAAATGAAGCATTCGATTCAAATTTATTCGAAAATATAAAACATTGATTAAAAAAATTAATGACAGGAAAAAAAAAGTTTTGATAATGTTGGTATTAAAATTCATCACATGATCTGTTAACTAGTTTCAATGCAACTTCTATATTATATATTAAAAAGAATAATTAAATTAAATTAAAAAATTAAAAAATAACTTCTATATTATATGTCATGTTTATAAAATTATGTATAACGAGAACGTAGTGCATTGAGTTAATTAATAATCAAATCGGAAAATAGCAGAAGACCAAAAATTTAAGTGGAAACAGATTTAAATATTATTTCGAAAAATTTCTTAATGCAGGCAATGCGTGTACGTTTTACTTATTGTTTTTTTTCTTCAATCTCAATGTCTTGGCTGTCAATTGAACACGAAAAACATTGTTCCAACACCTGAGCATCGGTTGACTTTTCTTATATAAATCTTCTTCGACAATCTATAGTTTTTTAATAAAAACACACTGCAATTTAACTAAGAAATTATATATACTAGTTTTTTTAATTTTATGAAATATACAAAGTTTGACTCCCACAACTTTTTATATCGTTTTAGAATATTGTAATCTAATTGCATCTCTTCTATTTATTAAAGTGAACGGTGAATAAGCATGGCAATAGACGAATTCGTCGGGAGGCTCCTTTCATGTTCTTGTCTATGTTTAAGTTCTCTCTTATCCCTCTCTCGTCCAAAACTGTTTAACAAATACCTTTGCATCCGAGTAGATATTCGGTATGTCGAATGCACCATATACCAGGCTAATCTGAGTTGTGCATACAAATCACGAATGACTCAGATTAGTCTAATGCACCGAGCATACTGAATACTTATTCCTTGCGCCCGGCCCCCATCCACCCAACCCTAAATTCAGGGGCGGAGCCAGGATTGCAATGTAAGGGGGACTAAAGATAAAAAAAAAAAAAAATTTGAAAATAAACACAATAAAAGTTGTGAAAAAATAAAATAAAAAAAAATTCTTGTAGAAGTGAGATATGGTAAAGGTATATTGTATTCAATATGGTCTTACTTCCATGTCCAAGTAACTAGATCATGAAATTGATCATTTTTTACTAAAGATCCGATCCGAGAAGACCTAAAAACCTAATTTACCAAGTTTAAATCTCAACCTAAAATCAGGTATAAGAACGTATTTGTTATCCACACCCATTGGAATTCGTTTTTCAGGTAAAAAATAAAAAATTATCCAATTGAATCTTGAACATCCATTCAACTATTAATTGATAAATGTGATTAGATTTTGAAATAAGACTGCCTCTGTTCTAAGGAATATGGGTTAATGTCCTAATTTGAATGAAAAATTGGATGTTTTCTCACTTTCTAACAGCTGTAAACTTTTTGAATTGTGGTTTCTAATTTCAATAATTTATGCTCTTGCTTAAAGGGGGAAAAATAAAAAATAAATACAGGAACATTTCAAAGAAGAATGATAAAAACAGCATATAGATCAGATAAACACATGAACAGTTAAGCTGATAGGAAGAGGAAGAGAAGTACTGTAAATTGATTATATATGTATTGGGCTTATATGAACAGTAATACTATTTTTTTTTTTTTTTAGTTGGACCTGGACTATAGCCCAGGTTAGCCCATTAATAGTTCCTCCCTTGAGGTCACCAAGATTCATGAAAGTTGATATTATTCGCGTCGCTTAAACTCGCTGTGATTGAGTCTCTTCTGCCTAATGGAACTATCCATGAAGGGCCACCCAACTGAAGCAATTTGAGAGGAGATCAAAAAATGATCAAAAGCTAGCAGTAAAATCAAAAGTAATTCATATATATATATATATATATATATATATATATATATATATATATAGATAGCTATGAGCTTTTGATGAATCGGTCAAACTAAGGGCTGTATAAACTTTTGGTAAACTAAATTATTGAGAATTAACAAAAATATACAACTAGGAGATGTAGGTTTTTATAATCTTAGAGTCTAAAAATAAATAAATAAAATTTGCCACATCCCTTAATTGGTGGTTAATGGAGTTGTATTTGGAGATGCAATTTATATACCTACTGGATAGAGAAAGTTGAAAGTGATATATATATGTGTGTGTGTGTGTGTGTGTCTCTTAGTGATGAAACCTCCGTCTTGGTTATCCGTCATTTAGAGTCCTTAAAATTATGTTTACTTTATTGTTTAAAGGATTAGATGTTGAAAATTTTCACTATGATGTCTGTGAACTTGCAAAGCACAAACGTGCTTCTTTTTCAATAAGCGATAAAAGAACATCTGTTCCATTTACTCTTATTCATAGTGACATTTAGGGACCGTCCACTGTTCCTAACATTTCTGGGGAGGTGGTTCGTTTCTTTCATTGATGATTGCACTCGTGTGTCTTGGATCTTTCTTACGAAAAATAAATCTCATGATATGAGCTCTGTCTTTCTTGTTTTTTAGAACATGGTCAAAACACAATTTGGTACTGAAATAAAAAGATTTCGTTCTGGACAATGCTAAAGACTATTTTAATCAGCTTCTCTCATCATATTTTCAAGAAAAGGGCATAATACATGAATCTTCTTGTGTTAACACACCCCAACAAAATGGTGTGGCTGAATGAAAGAATGGTCACATTTTAGCTATTACAAAAGCGTTCTTGTTTCAAAAAAATGTTCCTAATCAATATTGGGGGGAAGCGGTTTTAACTGCTACTCATATGATAAACAGATTACCTACAAAGGTTCTTGATTTTAAAAGTCCTATGGAAATTCTAACGAGATTCTTTCCTAATTTCAATGCTTCAAGTAGTCATGTTCCCAAAATATTCAGTTGTGTTGCTTTTGTCCATGTGCATTCTCAAAACAGGGGAAAACTTGATTCACGGGCTGTCAAATGCATCTTTATTGGTTATTCTTCCACTCAAAAGGGGTACAAATGCTATCATCCTCCCATAAGAAAAATTCTGTGTCAGCTTATGTCACTTTTGTCGAAAAAGATCATTACTTTACTCGTCCTTATCTTCAGGGGGAGATCTCATTCACGGAAGATAAAGACAATGATCTTTTTCTTCTTGATTTTCCATTGTCCTCCTCCTCGGTTCCTGTCTCTGTTGTCCAGCCAAACACTCAGTCCATTCCTGTTGACACTTAGTCCGTTCCTGTTGATTAACCTGAGCTAGTCCAGCCTAAGCCAAACATTCAGTCCGAATCCATACAACCTAAAACCGAGCCGCATACACCCAAGTCACAAGAAATGATAAAGGGAAAGCAAATTCAAGACTCTACTTGTCTACTGCTGGTTTTTTCAAGAAAAAGGGCATCAATCACTCAATCTATGCAGGTTCAATCACCCAAATCAACCCCTGCTCTTAGACTTAGCGAGGTAATTACTGAACCTATTTCTAATGAATATGGTGTTACTGAAGTCCTTGATCAAAGTGATTATGATATTCCCATTGCTATTAGAAAGAAAACTAGAGTATGCACCAAACACCCTCTGTACTTATTCTTGTCATACAAGAATCTGTCCAATAACCACAAAGCCTTTCTCACAAGCCTAAACACAATCTCCATTCCCAAAACCATTTCCGAGGCATTAGGTAATGAGAATTGGAAGAATGCTATGAAGGTCGAAATTGAAGCACTTGAGAAGAACAAGACATAGGACTTGGTGAAATTAATGAGAGGGAAGAAACTGGTGGGATGTAGATGGGTATTCACAGTGAAATACAAGTTAGATGGTTCGTTGGAGAGGTACAAAGTAAGGATGGTTGCTAAAGGCTATACCCAAACGTATAGAATAGATTATCTTGAGACATTTGCTCTTGTTGCAACGATAAACACCGTTAGAGTGTTGTTGTCATTGGCTGCTAATCTGAGCTGGAAATTACAGCAATTCGACGTCAAAAATGTCTTTTTACATGGTGATCTCAATGAGGAGGTTTATATGGAAGTTCCACCGGGGTTTGGTTTAAATACAGGACAGGTGGTATATAGGTTAAAAAAGGCATTGTATGGATTAAAACAGTCTCTAAGAGCTTGGTTTAGAAGGTTTGCCAAGGTAATGCTCGATATGGGATACAAACAAAGCCAAGGCGATCATACCTTGTTTGTAAAGCACTTGACTTCAGGGGGCGTGACTGCATTGTTAGTCTATGTAGACGACATTATAGTGACATGTGATGATTTGGAGGGAATGGAGAATTTTAAAAGTGTTTAGTGAAAGAATTCGAAATCAAAGAGCTCAGCAAACTAAAGTATTTTCTCGGCATTGAGGTAGCACATTCTCGAGAAGGAATTTTCATATCTTAGCAAAAATATGTAACAGATTTGCTGATGAAAACAAGCAAGTTAGGTTATAGACCAGTAGAGACGCCTATAGAGTTCAACCACAGGCTTGGAGATGCTATAGAAGACACAGCAGTAGATAAAGGCTCCAATCAGAGACTTGTGGGAAGGCTTATCTACTTGTCACACACTAAACCAGACATAGCCTATACAGTTAGTGTTGTAAGTCACTTCATGCACAATCCCAAAGAGTCACATCTTAGGGCTATGTATCGAATCCTACAGTACTTGAAAGGCACACCGGGCAAAGGAATTCTATTTAAGAAGGGGGAGGAGCTAACTCTTGAAGCCTACACTGATGCAGATTATGCAGGGTCTGTAATTGACAGGAGATCTACCTCGGGTTATTGCACTTTTCTAGGAGGCAACCTTGTGACTTGGAGGAGTAAAAAACAGAATGTTGTGGCAAGATCCAGTGCAGAAGTCGAGTTTAGAACAATGGCACTTGGGATTTACAAATTATTATGGCTGAAAATTGTCATAAAAGATTTAAGAGTCAAGTGGAAATGTCCAATGAAGCTTTATTGTGACAATAAGTCGGATATTAATATTGCACATAATCCAGTGTAACACGACCGTACGAAGCACATTGAAGTTGACAGGCACTTTATAAAGGAGAAGCTTAACAGTGGCCTAATTTGCACTCCATTCGTTTCCACTAGCGATTAACTTGCAGACATACTCACCAAAGGATTGTCTGGGACGTTTTTTTAGAAACTAGCAAGCAAGTTTGGTATGGATGATATCCATTCACCAACTTGAGGGGAAGTGTGGATAATTCGGTTCTATAAATAAGGAAACCATGTGTGTATAGCTGTAATTAGCTAAGGAAATCGTGTGTATAGTTGTAATTAGCTAGGAGATTTTATAATGTTTTAGTCATTATAATCCCTGATTTTAGGGAATTAGTTTTTGGTCAATATATCTAGGATTAGACAGTAGTAGTTTGTAGTTCAGATGAGTTATTTGCAAAAAAGCAATAGTTTAAAGTGGTTTTTTACACTTTACCCCATTATATATAAGAATAAAATAATATTTTTACATTATAAAGGACGTGGAACTAATTATTTTGTCATCCGTAACGGTGAGGATTCAAGTCAGAGGCAAGCATGAGTTTCTTACCATGGGGTGCCCAAAAAAATATATATATATATATATTCCTACTTTCTATGAAATTGATAAAATCATATAAAATTGTAAATAGATTTAAAATAATAATAAAACTTACATATTTGTCAAATGTTTCTACAAAAAATCATTTTTGATATAATTTTTATTTATTTATTTCACTCAAATTTTCTCCTACACCATCAGATCCTATAAGTGATGGGCTTTGTCGTCTTTGTTGTGGCGTCTTGGGCTTGATTACCTTTATGCCTCGGTTAAGCCCAGACCGTTTTCCGGTGAAGTCTTGTTTGACTTTGTTGTAGCCTCTTGGGCTTTTTTGCTTTCAAATCTTGGTTGGGCCTTTCCTGTTGTCTTTTTTCGGCTCTTTCCTGAGGAAATATTTTGTATGGTTTGTTTTTTCTTCTTCTTTCCATTTGTTTTTATTTTTTAATTTAAAAAAAAAAATTGACCATGTATAATTTTGGATAAATTCATCGATACATAAATGTTTTTTCAACACTTTGACCACCCTTGTCTTTTAGTGTATGTGTTCAATAACACCTTTAGTATTTTTTTTTTCCTTTTCGATAGATTTGCTAGATTAAAAATTTTATAAAATGATAATTTTGTCTTTTCCTTGTATAAAATGACAATAGGGTAAATTACACTAATATTTCTTAAAATTTGGACAAATCACGTGAATTTTTATATTAACAAATATTACAATATACTAATAATTATTATAATATAAGGATAACACGGACTTTTTACACTCAAAGTCAACTTATGGCATTTGCAAACCGATTTAAAGAAGATCAAAGGAATAATAATTTGTCCAAACCCGTTGAGAATTATTATTGATGGTTTTTTATTATGTTATATGAATCTCTGTTTAGTCTTGTCACATTCCTAAACCCAAAGCTCTTCCTGTTTAGGTCATTCTATGCACTGGTGCAACAATACAGTTACATCGCAACATTCCTATTGCGACATTGCAAGACGAATCACCAATACAAATACTTTTAAAAAGTTTTAAAAAGTTAGGACACATATTTATATCAAAGATACGATATTTATGTAACATATTATAATATTATAACACCATTAAACCAAAAATTTCACACATTCACGTAATTATTGTATTATCAATTTAAAATTGTTGCGGCACAAAACAGGCACGGGACGAAAATGGCACAATTAGTGATACACTTACAATTGAACAAATACATTTTCAGTGATACACTTATATCACTTTTATTGAATGCATTAGCTAAATGAAATGGAAACAAACTGTCGAACACCACAAATGAACACATTTTGTTCAATGGCCAAGTCCTTAAATCAGTTTATCTTCCGGCAATTGGTTCGAATCTGGCCATTGGTTCCGGTGAGCGGGCTAAGGTTTCCCATCTTCACAATTGCAGCGGCAAAGTCCCTGTAGAAAGTTGCAGGGCTATTGCTGTAAGTGGTGACCTGAGAGTCCGTGGAGCCGCCGTTGAAGAGCTGCTGGTCCGAGTGCATAAGTCCTCTGTTGTTCACCAGATTCTTGAAGTAGGCGTTGTCGAAAATGACAGGACTGGTGGCATCAAGAGGAGCAGGATTGTCGTCGCCACCTGAGGTCGGACATGTTGATTGCAGTGAGGCTGCATATGTTGAATTGATGTTGGCCTCGTTGTAGATGCGGTCGCGGAATAGTAAGCACCTGGCTTGCCCTATTGTGTGTGACCCTATTCAAGAAAATACAAAAAATATATTAAAATTATAGGAAATAATGAAATTATATATATTTACATATATATATATATATATATGTATGTATCACCAATTAACTTAATGGAAGCAACCTAACCTATGAAATATTTTTCACAGTGGTCACATACCTAAGAGAGCAACCATTTCTTTAGCAGTGAACCCTTTGTTTGAGAAGACAGTTATGAGGTCGCTGAGATCCATGAAAGGTGATGGAATGTCGTTATTGGCGGCGCTTAAACTCGCTGTGATTGAGTCTCTTCTGCCTAATGGAACTGTCCATGAAGGGCCACCCAACTGAAGCAATTTGGGAGAAGAAAAGTGATCAAAAGCAGTAAAATCAAAAGTAATTAATCTGTATATATATATATATTGCAATTGTTGTATTATATATATATATATATATATATATATATATATATATATATATATATATTATAATACAGATAGCTCTGAGCTTTTGATGAATTGGTCAAACTAATGGTTGTATAAACTTTTGTTAAACTAAATTTATTGAGAATTAACAAAAATAAACATCTAGGAGATGTAGGTTTTATAATCTTTGACACTAAAAATAAATAAATAAATAAATAAAATTTGCCACATCCCTTATTGGTGGTTAATGGAGGAGTATTTGGAGATGCAATTTATATACATATATTGGATAGAGAAAGTTGAAAGTGATATATATATATATATATATATATATATATATATATATATATATATTATATTAGTGATAAAACCATTCTAGTCTAGGTCCAATATTGCAAACTAGCTCATTGACTTGAGTGTCTATTGAGTAGCAAAATTCCAAGCTCCATGAAACGTGTGTGTGTGTGTGTGTGAGAAATTTCTGTGAATTCTATTAGGACATTGGATGAGTACTTAATTGTCTAGTTATCTAGTAGACCTAGCTAGCTACTTTATAATACATGCATTAATATAAATATAAATATTAATCCTTGCTTAGAGAGAGAGAGAGAGAGAGAGAGAGAGAGAGAGATATATATATATATATATATGTAATAAGTATGCAAAATTAAATTTCATGGTTAATATATAAATATTTTTGAAAGAAAAAGAAAAGAAAAAAGCTCACTGCAACGACAGAATCGCGAACTGCAACAGTTAGAATATCTGCACAAGAAACAACAGCAGGGCAGATGGCCTCCAGTTGAGATTTAATAGTATCGATGACGTCGAAACCCCTCAATGAGTTCATGTTGGGGTTTGCACTCTTCTCCCCAGTAAAACTTGAAGTGTCATCTAGTAGAACAGATGCATCACATCCCTGTTACACAATCTCATTAACATCAATAATTCTTGAAAACAATTACTGTTCCAAAAAAAAAATTTATTTGGTGATCAATGCTATTGCATGTATAGAGAGAGAGAGAGAGAGAGAAGAATTGTTAATGTTAATTAGTACTATAGTAGAACTCTGAATTAGATTCTTTAAAAATAAATGAAATGACATAATTACGTTTCAAAAGTGAACTATATAAGTAGTACTTTTTAGGATAATTGTAAAAATTATCATCATTCTCAATATATTATGAAAAAGAATAGTATGAAAATCCTTTTAAACTACTAGTACTTACCATGTGAAATAGCATTTTGCATGATGAAATTTTATTTTTTTTTATTTTTATTTTTTTTGGAAGTGTAAAATAAATTTTTGCAATAAACTATCTTTATTTTTTATATACTGCTCTCAAAGTAGAAGATATATATATATGTATGTATATATATATATATATGTATGTATTAGAAAGCTTCCATATATACGGCGTAAGTGATGAGCTATATTTCCCTCTTAACGATAACATACATCGTATAAAAGGGTTCAACACGTTATTGTTAAGAGGGAAATATAGCTCATCACTTACGCCGTATATATGGAAGCTTTCTAATACATATATATATATATATATATATATATATATAATTTACAAATAAAAAATAAAAAAAAAAAAAGAAAAAAAAAAAAAGGCTTATCTAGACCAGCCTAGGTAGACACAAGGATCGAAATCCTTAGTAGGCGTGGGACCTGGATCCATTCCATTAGCTCTCATCGTCTATCATCTTGTTCACCAATACTAATAAATCAGTTATGCAATACACTATATCATAAAATACAACACTAATGCAATCGTGTGTGTGTGTGTATATATATATTACATCGTATTGCAATGTTTCTACACTATTAAATTAAAATTTTAACGCATTTAAGTGGTTGTTTCATTGTCAATTTAAAGTTGTATTAACAATATAAAGTTGTAGTATATACAAGACCAAAAAGAAAAATTACGGAGGTTTATGCATGCATGCATGCAAGAGAATGCTAGAGATCATATATGTGTGTGTGTGAGAGAGAGAGAGAGGGAGAGAGAGATCATGCATTGACAAAGCAGTCGTGGAAATGAAGACGGAGCAAGGAGGCCCCCATGCGATGCTCCTTGGACACTGCATTATTCACTGCAGTTCTAATGATAGTGAGGGCTCTTGGGCACGTTGAGAAATAGAAATTAGAGGAAAGTTGGGCAGAAGCAGAGCTCATTCCAAACACTAACAAATACAGATACAAGCTCAAAATACAGTAGCACTGCGAATAAAACGCCATTGCTATATATATCCAAAGGACAGACAAAGACAGACGAAAGAGAAACAAAAAGACCAGCTCTGTTTGTGTTTTGTCTTTTGTGTTTTGGTAAATTATGCTCATTGAAATGCTCTATATATAGATGAACCTTCTTGGACCGTTTGACATTTTAGACATGTCCAAGGGTCAAAGCTATTATTGAAAATTTAAAAGAAAAGAATATTGGGTTGGACCAAGGAATTGGATAAACATGCCCCCACTTAGTGCCAATTCATCCTCTAGGGAAAAAAATGATGAGTAAAAACATAGCGATGGGCTTGGAGTTGTGGTGATTAAGACAGCTAGATTTAACTTTTAGGTGCAATCTATTTGTAAGAGGGAAATTTCTTAAATATGATCTCAAGAAGATTTGAACTTTTGATATTCAAAATGTGAGGTGAGAGTCTTGTCATTGAGTTAGAGCATTAATAAGAGAGGACGAACTTCCACAAACTCCAAATAAGTTAATTGGGTGGGACACGTGGATCCCGCCACCACTGCTGATCCCATTCGATAAATTTATTTAGAAATTTGAGAAGTTCGGACTCCAATGTCTTCTGTTTTATTTAAGGAATCCCACTTTAAATTTGAATGCCCATTAACACCTTTAGTTTTTATCCCAATACACCAAATTTTTTTTTTTTTTTTTCCTAGTTTAGACTCACACATACAATCTCCACTGAGGTTCGAACCCCTGATCTCCCTTTGAGAAGTAGGAGTTTTGTACCGCTAAGCCACAAGCCTTATGGTCAATACACCAAATGATAACACCCAAGTTCCAAGTTGTGGTAATTTGAAATATTTGGGGGGTGGTTGGTTAGTGACACAGTGTGAACGAATTTGTCTAAGGAATCTAATTAGTCAATCTTGAAACGAAAGGCAGATCAAATTTTCTTTTGCCTTCTGCCTTTTCGCAGTAAACGCAAGGCCTATTTTGCAAACCCCCCAAACTTTAGAAAATTCCTGTCCCTAAAATCTAATAAGAAAAGCTTCAAATAATTAAAATAGGTCTTTGAAAATAGTGGTCTTTGGAAGTTAATACCAAACAAAGTCTAATAACTTCACATTAGCACTGATAAAGTGAACTTGGATGGATTAAAGAGGGTTGAGCTTAATAAAAGAGAAGTGGCTTTTGTTGACTCACCAACCTCTCATGCTCCCTAAATTATAGTTAAATAAATAATTGATTCTAAGGTGGTTTATCAATACATGGTGCTCATCTTTTTTATGGGCTTGAAAGCTACCTTCTCCTAACTTTCAAATGGTAAAAACAAATCTTTGAATTACTGTTTTCATTGAGTACAACTACATGCATTCACAGAAATGTACAATTAAGCTAGGGACAATGTCTAAAAATTTTGACCACCTAATTAATTAATAAATGGATCACAATTATGGACTATGGAACGTTTACACACCTTACATAGCATAATGAGTATGATCCCAACGACCACCCAAGAGTAATAACCAAACCGTACTTTTTCACTTTCCAAAGTAAAAAGTTGAGAATTCAAGTCCCCGAGTGGAAGAGTAGAGGTGAGCTAGGCATACATCGGCATATGGGTATGATTCTTGTTTATAACAATGGAACTTAACAATAATTAAAGTCACTGGGCTCTTCTACCATTTTTTTAGTGATTCACTCTGCATATCTCAGCATATGGTGACAATGAGTTGAATCTAATAAGTCACTGTACAGCTGACTGCTAATTTTCAAGAACCCCCAAAAACTTCTGCTTCCCGCCCTTTTGTTCAAAGATTTTCAATATGTATTAGTGATTCACAAACCAGAATATATCTTGTTCCTCTGTTCTCTAAAAATAAAATCACGATTTTTTTTCATTTTTAAACAAAAAAGAAACCAAAAAAAATACATGACTCAACCAGGGGGGGCTCAGAGCCTCTTCACCGTGCCTACCACTACCACATCTATCCCGCTACAAACTCAAAAAACAAATTCTTCCTCCTCTGCTCCATTTGGCAGTCTGTCCCTCATCCCTTGCAGAGTTTCTGCTGTAGAGTCACTTATGTCCAGCAGATATTGCAACCGCGACAGTTTCTCAGGAGCCGGGTTGCTCTTCGTGTATATAAGGAAGAGATCATATAGCTCCTCTGCTACTTCCCACGATAATGGCTGTGAAGGTACAGCCTTGTCACAGGATAGACAATCATTGAGGGAGGAAACCTACAAAGAGTAGAAGTTGATTTTAGAAATGTTACAGATTTACCACCGAAAATATATATCAAACAAAATTCAAAAACAACCAAGATGAGATGCATACCACTCCTGCATGGTTTCTCTGCCTTAGTAATGCTACAGCCTGAATCAGAGAGTTTGATAATCTACTTCGTGCAAGCTCGTGAACAACCCTTTTTGACTTCTCAACATTAATTTTGAGGTCTTGTGGAATTTTCTGATATACTTCCTCCTCATCAAACTCGCCAGTACCAGACGAAAAAATTTCATCCACAGTTTTCTTAAAGAGGTTCTCCCGTAAGCCCTCAGATATCATGCTGTCCAAATCAACAACACCAGCTTCCTTAAGTTCTCTTATCTCCTTTATACTGAGTCTCCCCTGACCCACAGCGGTTTCAAGGGCAGCTGACATTTTAGTAGTTGTTATGCTCTTTATGATTTTCTGGGCATACTGTGGCGGCAAGCCAACTTGCTTCTGCAGCTCATTTAGCTGCTCAATCCTGACTTTCGTCAACTGTCCATCAGCTAAAATCACCTCAGCTTGTTGCCTGAAAGCTTGCTCAGCCAAGCCCCTATGCACATCCACAATCTCCTTGTTAGTCAAACCTAGGATTTTACCAAGCTGGTTTAGCAGAACATACTCAGAATCATCCTTTTTTGTGGTAATCTGTGCACCAAACGGAATCCTGGTGACCTCTCCTGTTAGACAGAATAACAAGTATGTCTTGTAAAGGTCAGTCCTATCCCTTTCTGGGAGGTCATCTTGGAGAGTTATCTCCGTCTGGCTTTCCTTCCCCAACTTTGCAGCAAATTCTTTGTTTGGTTTTACTTTTCGAAGTGACTGGAGGGTCTCCCATTCCTCATCCTCCTCTGCCTGTTTTTCTTCCTCCTCAATGGGCTCTTCTGATGTAGTATCAGATGATTCACCTTTTATATCTGTGACTAATTCAGTCACTACCAATGAGTTGAATGCAATCATTTTTTTAAGTGTTTTTGCAGCTTCTATTCGGCTCCCAGCCGCACGTGATTGTTTTATGTAGGTCATGAAAATCTTTCTCACCTGCACAGAGCATCAGTCAATTTGTGAAAGCTAAACATTTTTTTTTTTTTGGATAAGTAAAAGCTAAACATATTGAATTCAGATAATTCATATTATGTATGGCATTTCGAAAATTCTATGAGGACTCAATAGTAACACTTCTTAGAGAAGTTTCATCAACCCAACAGATTTTATGATAAGCTTTCATCCAGTGACTGCATTTGCCACCAGTTTCAAACATTGACATAACTTGTGAGACATTCAATACTGAAATAAGAGTTAATCCAGCAATAATCAAGATAAATAAATAGCTTCTAGCAATCTAATCAATGAAACATAACAACAAATAATACATGGAATTCTCTTTTTCTCGGGAAATGCATCACAGACAAACAAACAGAAATGTCTTCTTCTTTCCTTCTCTTTTTCCCCCTTTTTGCGGGTGCTGAGGGGCTACGGTAGGGTTCTGCTAAAACTAAAAGTTTACAATCATATATCCAAATTTCCTGTAAAAGTACAGGCAAGACTTGGACCTCTACCACATCTAAGGAGGCTCTTGTTGGATACCTGTAGGGTTCATCTAGAAGAAAGAGACCAGTGTGGAATATGTCCTCCCTAGCGCAATTTTGGTAAACCTGAGAGGAAACAAAATTTGTTTGAAGATAGGCTTGGCCAGGTTTTATATTGAATTGATGATTGATGTTGAGTTCTTCAAATACTTCGTTTTTGGGAGGGAATTTGTTGAATGTAATTTCTTCACGAGTTTCAGTGAGATGAAGCTTAGGTGGGCCAGTGGGAGTTGGCCTTTTCTTTTTTGGTAATTCTTCCTCATTGCAGTTAAGCGTGCAGTCTTGTATACTTCACATGTAATTGGTTGCATATTATCTAGCATCTTGTTTATATATTTGTATTTATCAACACCAAAAAAAAAAAAAAAAAAAAGCTTTGTTTTACCACAAAATCTGCCTACCAGCGGCATTTTTTTATACAAGGAACCAACCAGCAGCAATTTTATTGTTTTTTAAGAGTTAGAATATCATCTATTCCAAAGTTCCAGACAAAAAATTTGTGTGTAACTTGGTCTGATGCAACCTGAGTGACAAAACCAACATGTACTTTGGTTGAAAGCACAGATAACTACCTAACTTAAGAAAACATTCCTCATACTTTCAACCATGTGTAATCTAAAATATATAGAAGTTTATATATGCATTGTGTGTGTGCGCGCGCGCATGCGTGTACGCATGAATAAGATAGATCCTGGAAAATATTTATAGTGTTCAGATAAATGGACCTTTAACAGAACAAGTTGTATTTGAACACAAGGAGGAGGATAACATATGAATCATATGATAACCCCAAACTTCCAGGAAGAAATATTCATGCATATGAGATTGCTGTACAGTCAACAGCACACCAACTTTAACCAACACAAATCTTAACTTAGGTTGGTCCAATTTATCTCCATGACATCTTTGTGTTCTAGTGACAGAACACCAACTTTAACCACCCAAAACTTAAGTTGGTTAAATATTATCTCCATGCCATTTTTGTGTTCTAGTGATCCAGGATGAACCTTGCAAAATCAACAAAGTTGCCAAGATCTTTTGCTTGATTTGAAGCCCCACTATACTCAAACATGGAAAATCAAAATCCGGTAGCCCACATCATATTCAGGTAATTGAACTCTTGTCAACTTAACATCACATGACCGAGAGGCTAAGAAGTGTGGGTACAAATTGGACAAGGCTCGACTTTTCTAACAAAAAAACTGAACAGGAGAATGGGATTTATTGAGAAAAAAAGAACAAACTTCCAGGTCCCAGCCTAGACCAACTCAAAGATTTGCGTATTACTTCTTGTGTTCTACTACAAGCATGCAAAAATATCAATAATAATAATAACAATGAAAAAGGTTTCATGGGTAAAAAAATTCGAATACCATCTTAGTGGCATTTATTTCAAATTATCAGAACTCCACCTCACTGCCATCCCAGCCAATTGTATGTTCATGTTGCTTGGAAATAGTTATGAGGTGGACAATGCTGACAAATCACTTGGATCATCCAAACTCCTGGAGTCATTAAATTAACTAATCTTCTTCTAGGGGCTTCAAGCAAAAATAAGGCTTGGGAAAAGATTCCACCTTGACTGAGCTCAAGCTGACTTGAGCCCAGCTAGACTCACCTACTGAAGGGAGACTCTTAAAACAAAGAAAACTTCCCATTCCAGCTATTTGGATTTACAATAAATACAATTACAATCATCAAAGAGCAAGAACAAAATTTAGCGGAGGTGGATACTTACTGCCTTACTAGCAATACACATGGCAACCTCCCTGGTTAAGCGTAAACCATGTGCAGCCCTTCGAACAGATTTCTTGACTTCTGCATCATAACCATCCACTCCAGCAGCGATGGCATCCTTCACAACCTGGAAAAAGAAGCCTGATTAGAATAACTTTACAAACTTGTCAGCATTATGACCAGAAGGCATCTGCAGTATTACAGGACTCTAGTACATACAAGACAACCACATTGTTAGTATAATAGTATCAGAATCAACATCTGCAATCTACATGATTTAGAAAGATACAGGTCCCTGTGACAGATGGATATCAAAAGAAGATAATAATAAAACTACTTTACTTAATGAAATTTTTGGAGAAAACCACACAGTGGATGAAGATTTCAAGCTCTTCATGAGTACATCAATCAAATTCCTCCGGGGATATTTTCATATTTCGACCAAAAGAAATGTAAGAAATAAAATCTCTCCAAGCCCCAAATTTTTGGGGCACAATCCAATTCCAAAATCGTAATTTCTCTGGCTGACTAGCATTGTAAATAAACATTTCTGTCCAAAACTATTGATGGAACCTAGGAATCCCTTCTTCTTTTTTTCTTTTTTTTTTGGTGAGGAATCTTTCTCCAATCTGCAAATTGGTCAATTGAAAATGGCAACCAACCAGTTCACACAATGAGAAGTCAAAAATTATAGATTTGGCAACATTTTGGAGTTTTTGGCCTTTCAAGGCCACAAAAAGAAACATTTGCTGGGACTCGAAAAGCCTATACTGATGTTAGAGATTTCCTTGCAAACACCAGACAATCACAATCTTTATTTTGATCTAAAACCTCATAAAATAATATAGTGCCACTTTCAAAAACACTTTTACATGTATATGGGTGTACACTCTCAAGCAGTCTCGAGCTTTTTTTCCTTTTCTTCTTTTACCAGATATAACCGATCTCACTCTCCTGCTATTGGTCTGGCTCTATTGTCTTAGACCCAAGTGTTATTCACTTCCATAAATAACATAATCACCCATTACTTTTAGAGAACATTTACTTTTGGATTCTATCTGAATTACTCATTTTCAAAAAATATCCACACTGTTCAATAATTATTCATTTTTTCCTACTTAAAGCTTTCTTAAGATTTAATTAATAACATTTTTTCCATTGAACCAACAAATGCCAGTATTTGCAAGCCATCAAAATATAATGCAAGACCTGAATAGTAGTGTACAGTACTGATCAACCACACAGACGCCATCTGTTTACATGGACTCAAATACGTATATTGGATGCATAAAAGTGCTAAACGTCATATCTATCGAATCGTCAAGCCCAAGGACTCAGGACAAGGCTAAATTACCATTTTTTAATATTTTTTATTTTTATGGTAAAATGAAATTCTTATGTACTACAAAATATTGAATGTAGGTTGATTCACTTTTTGAAGTAATAATTTGATAAAGAACATAATAAGATGGCTCTTTGTACAATTATGTAATACACGTGAGTTATTGGATAGTTGGATATACTTGTCAACCATACATATTGAATAAATATCAGATACCCATATTCATGTCGTGTGTCTGACATGTGTGATTCAGTTATTTAGAAGAGTCCATGCATATAGGGGAACACCGGATTCCATTACTTGATTTACTCAAATAGAATTTTTTATTCTCCCTTCTACTCGCCATACAGAAAAACTGTGCCATTAAAAAAAAAAAAACATGTGCCATTCAAACCAAGACATAAACAAGTAGACCTCCTCTATAATATCCCTCCAGCCTCTAAAGCACCGAAACGGCAACGGGGGGTGTTGTATTAGTGTCGGGCACGCATGTCCATAAGTGTCCTTTCTCTTTATAAATAAAGACAAAATAAATAAAATAAATGAACAAAGAACAAAAAAAAAAAAAACAACAGATACGCCATCAAACACACTACGGCTGTTGTGTATATATGTCTAACAATTCAAAGTTGAAATAAGAGACAAAAATCTAATATATCAAGAGATGGAGGGTATAAAAGAAATCGCCGGAAAGAGATACAAGGTCTGAGAGCCGTGATTCTGTTAATGAAGGAGAGAGTGAGAGGAAGAGATGAAGTAGAGAGTTACAGTGCCATGAAAGAAAGAGAGTGAAGGGATAAGATCAAAATATTATCTTGGTTTTCAACATGTTTGGTTAGAGCGGCTTAGAGGGATAAAAAAATTCTGCCTTTTGGACGTATACATATATATCTTTTACAGTATTTATATTTTAATGGAATTTGGGTATATTGACTATTCTGTTTTAACAAAACAATATGTGCTATTTGGTGGGCCTAATTTAAATGGGTTGTGTTTATAAATATAAATTAGAAATTGAGAAGAAAATTAAAATTTTTATATATAATAAAAAATTATATTATTATTGTATTGTTGTATCCTTGCCGTGTCTGTGCATGCCGCACCCGTGTCCATGCTTCATAGCCCCAAACTTATAATGGCAGACAAGTCATCACATCATCCCAGCACAACAGCCTCATTGCCGCATATCAGTATTTCTTGGGGGAAATATACTGACCTTTTGACAAATGCCACAACACAGAAAAGTTCCTAGAAACTAGAAGCAGTTCGCATTCAATTTCCGAATAAATAAAAGAATTGACATGCAATAATTGAAACAGAAAGGGTCCTGGAGAAATTGCTACAGCTTAATGAGAATTATGCACAAGGGCCACTGCTGGGGGCCCAAATGTGAGATGTAGCTTCGAACCCTAGGAAAGACCACATATGATGCTAAAGGTTGGAAGCATATCCAGTCTACCCTTCTAGAACCCCGCATTGATGAGATCAGCATCAAGTAATGGACTATTAATGAGAACCAAGTCAAGTACACAAAGTATGAAAGGTATAGGTAGGGAAAGCAACAGTTACCTTTTCAAACAAACTCCCACAGATATCTGCATGAGCTGCTTCAACTGTTTGCTTAGGGATGCAAAGCATGATCTGTAACCGCTCCAAAGCTTTGACATCCTCCTCATTAAGCTCTCCATCAGTTACAGCTTGCTGAAGCTTTTGCCGGTAAATTTCTAAAATTACGAGTATATAAGAAAATTGGAGACTCTTTCATGGCATTCCAAAAATTAATTAAAAATAAGAAAGCAGTTGGCACAAACAATCTTAAATATGAATATTGAAGACAGTAAGACGCGTAACGCAGAACTTATGTTCCTCCCTACTGCTACTCCATGGTACCAAAAAAGTCGCCATTTCATCATTAGTTAAAGCATACTTGGAAACTTTTCAAGTACCAGGAGATATACTTTTCAGTTTGACATTAATTAAAAAAAAATGTGGCTGATTATCACCTTATATGAGTATGTGTGCGTGCCAGATAAACACAAACTTAAAAAGAAAGTCCAAGTGACAGGAAAATGTCTACTAGTTCCTGTAGTGAGTTCATCATAGCAGCATTATTACAGATTATCATATGCCAAATATTACCATTATGGATCTCTATGGCCTTCTGTGGATCAAAGCACAACTCATCACAGAGATTTTGAAGGAAGGCTGCTTTGCTATCAGCACCTTCTAAATCACCACTAGATACGGCCTGACCAAGTCGTTTACGATATACTTTTGAGGTAACATCCAGCGTGATAGATTCTGCTTCTCGTTTACCTAAACCAAATATATTCCTCAATTGGTTCAATGCAGCAAGCTACAAAGAGAAAGAAAAGATAAAAGCAATGTTAACAATTATAATAATAAAGTACGTCTCTTCATTTAGGAAAAACTAAAAAAAAAAAGTACGTCTCTAACATAAAAACAGAACCCAGAAAAAGCAAGGCAACATCTAGACAACACCGAAACATAGAACATGGGCATTAATTCTGATGGCGCAGTACTGAAACTTCATCATGGAACAAGGTTCCCCAAACCAAGAAGAAATTCTTGTACCAAATTAGAATCTTTTAAGGACACTAGTCTATGTGCACGTCTAATGCATAAAAAATTTAATATATAAATTTATGTTAAGAGGAAAGATAGATTAGAATTTAAATACCATTTTATATATCTTAATCTTAAAAAATTTAAAGTACAATATCAAATTTTATATACTATATAGTTCATGTAACCAAAAAAATAGAAGACATAAATCCCCCACCTCACATTTCATAATTTTTATTTCACTGAAAGTCTCTTTCATGCAAAACAGAAACATAGAAAAAAATGAAGCCAAATGTCCATGCACCTTATTTTCTTCCATGCGACCACTCGATAGAGAATCAGTAACATATGCTCGATATAGGAGCTTCAACTCATCCCTTTTTCTGTCACCATCATACTCGCCACCTATATCAAGGATATACATCAACTACAGCATGCGTGTTTGGGGTGTACAAATCATTGAAATAAATAAGCTTCATGAAGAACATGATGCAAAATACCAGTTAGCCTTCCTAGTTCTTACCTAATAAAGTAACCGGCCCAATTCCACAAGCAAAGCGACCAGCATCAGGATGGTTCTTCAATGAGATTAGCAGACTATTAAATGCCAGTATCTTATCAAGCTCTTCAATCACTTGTGTTGTTACCCTGCTGGATACCCCAATCTATTTTAGATGGTGCAAATTCTACAAAAGTTAAATTAATAACTACCGATATGAATCAAAATTTCTATTGCAATTCAAAACAGAAAAATTAAAAATTAAAATGTTCCTATTAATAATTTCAAAAGTAAGACATGTTCTATAAACTCGTGCTCTTACAAATACTTGAATCAAATCTCAAGTGACCAGCATACTCATTGAAAGAAAAAATATTATCTAATAAATGTCCAAAAACTGGCAAAGTTATAAAGTTTTGAATCGGGTCGTGATCATACGCTGCTCTTGTCCTAGACTTCAATATGCTGAGAGCAGTGGAAATGTTTTCCTCAACGAGTGTTCTTGTACGCTCCTTGAACATGTCTTCAGCAAGCTGCATGAAACAGGTTCTAGCACATGTAGAGGTGACAAAAAAAAATATTATGAAATGTTCACTTAATGGCAACAAGTTTTGACAGTAATACCTCATCGGAGAGTCGATACAGAATTTGTGCTTCTCTCAGGCTAATAAGCTGTTCTACGTCAACATCTGACAAACGTTTTAAACTTTGTTAGCGTTGACGGGTCAAAACAAGTGCGATCCTCATAAACTCAAATGTAATTAGGTGTGCAACTCAGGTGGGTTTGGATGGTTGAGGGGTCAACCCAAGAAATAAAACATTCAACCGAAGCCCAACTGATCCCAACATTCAACCCAATCCCATCCCATGTTTAAATTTTTGAACTCAAATTGAGCTCGATTATAAAAATCGGGCTGAAAAACGGACTGAGTACAAGTTAGCCTGGGGTTGGGTTAACCCTCCAAGGTATTAGTATACAACAATTAACATTTAAAGAAAAATAAATTGAAAAGAAAAAACTGATCACAGGTGTAAATATACGTAACATATTAAAATTATAAATATCTAATAAGTAAAATTGAGTTCGGTTTGTCAACACCTCAATCTGAGCTCTAGCCTAAATTAACTCAAGGTTAGAGTTTTTCAACCCAGGGTCCCAATTGTACAAAGAGCTCTACCCTAATTATACAATTGGTTGCCCAAACTCATGAAAAATTGAGTTAGGCTTGGGCTTGGTTCAGGTTAGCATGTCCAAGTTGCACTCTAAATGTAATAGGATCATGAACCTTATATACACAAAGAAACAGATAAAGATTATAATCACAATAAATATAGTCTAAATTAAAGAAATTGTTCGTTCTTAAATCAAAGCTATGAAGATTCATCTATTTTACTTGGTAACTCTGCAGTCGTAACAAAGTATAGAGAAAATCAACTACTAAGTCAATTAGTGTTCAATAGCAAAAAGATTAAGCATACACTACATAAGAACTGAATATGCTTGATGTTCAAGCCATCCTAAGCAGCATCAAACATTCAAATGCAGTGACGGAGCCAGGGGGCACATATTGAATATTATCTTCTTTTTTTTCCAACTAACATGACAACTACTAGTGCAGCAAAAGAGCAAGCCAAAAAATAGAAAAGCAGTAATGGTACGGTAATCAAGATTCAAATCCTGTGTCACTATTTGAAAAAATATGCAGTAAAAAAATTCAAATATATAAAATACGAACATTAAGTCAATAAAATTCAAAGAACGAGAGAGACAAAAAAGAGAGAGAGAACTTTGAAGAGGAAAATTAGGGTTTGATTGAAGAAGGGGAATACAATTTTTTTTTAAGGGACCAAAGAAATTTGAAAAGGGGGGGTGATTTTGTAAAAATTTTAAAAAATTACAAACAATAACTTAAAGAAATATAGAAATTGAGGAGCCACATTAGGCTCAGGGGGGCAGCTACTCCATCCCTGTTCACATGCAACCAACTGTTACTTAAGAAGTACAGAAGAACACCTCATTTTAGCATAAGAATGAAAAAGAAAACAAATAATAGAAATACAGCCGTTATTCTATTTATCATGATGGACAGCTTGACGATTACATTTGAATTACGATTACATTTGAATTACACCTTAAAAATAGGGAAAAGTCAAATCATACTTGAAACAAATTATATTACAGTGATATTTAGTGTACTTGTGTTTAACACATAAATCAGCAGAGAGCCAATACAGTGACTCAAGGCATAAAAATGCTTTCTGTGGTTACCTCTGCAAACCGATTCTAGTTTAAAGGCATATAACCGCTGAGCATTGTCACGAATAGCAACCTCAACCTGGTGGACAGAAATATTGAAACCCACAAAGAAACAACAATGGCTTAAAAAACTGTAATAAGATTGAAACTCAACCAATGCACAAATAAGATTGAAACTCAACCGATGCACAAGAACATGAAAACTATAATCTGTTTTAACTAAGTGAACTAAAATGGCAGAACTTGATTAATGATGCTGAATTGCTGTGCACTTTAAAGAACAAGACCACAACCCCAACCCGCAAGATATTTTTGCAGATAAACTTAGATAAAACTAATAAGAATGAAGTACCTGTGCATCAGTAACCTTGAACACACGCTTCCAAGGTAAAAGAAAAGTTGATGCTTCTCCAAATACAAGCGTTGAAACATATATTAGCTTCTGAAATGCCTGCACTGGTGACTCCAACATGGTCAAGTTTCTCATAGGAAGCCAAGAGATCAAATACCACAATAAGTAACAAAATCACAAGTAACCATACCCGACGCTGCTCTCTGTCACCATCACGGTCGCCAGTTTCAAGCCTTTGCCTAAAAATTTGCCTACCAATCTGAGGATCCAACAGTAAATTACAGTTTCAAGAACATAAAATGAGGTCTGCCTTTCAAATACAGCCACATGCATTCTTATTCATCAACATAGGTCCAAATAACTACTTCAACAATACCTCCATATGCATGGAAGCTGCGTCTGGGTCATCGATACCCAATGCATTCTTAAATTTAATAATAGTTTCAACTTCATTGCCTTTAAGATCTTCACTTCCAGGAGGAAGGACAGAAGATACAAACCTGACACCAAAATAGAAGAAAATTTTAAAAGTTGAAAATTAAAGGCCACGTCCACGTGAACAAACAGATAATTGCTCAAGCACAACAGACAATACAGAAGTGAACAAACAATCGAACAAACAATAGAAATCAAACATGGATGGAAGCATAGAGAATGGGACAGAGAGGGAAGGTCAGAAGAAGGGAGGGAGGAAGGGGAAAAAGCATGTCCATTTGATATCAAACAATGCCCCAATTTAAACAGAACGGTTCCCAGCCCATAACAAAGTCTTTCATTCAGGAAAAATTATTATACCACATGCAAGTGTGAAGGAGATTGATAGTGACAACTAACCTTTCTGATGCTGCACAAGTATGACGAAGATTCTCCAACTAGCAACTAGCTATGAACCACAATGGCTTCCTAATATGGTTTTAAGTTAGGCAGCCCAAGGAGAAATTGAACATATGGCGTTTGAGTAAGTGGAAGAAACATTGGAAGCTTTGGAGGTTGGAAAGGGAAATTGGCTTAATTGTAAAGGTGATAGGGTCTGCAAGATTATTATGAAGAAAATTGGCATTATTTTCGGAACAAGTAGTATTCTGGGGTGTTCTGAACGTCATTTTATGCTGCTGAACTACTGTTTCTTATTAAAGTAGAATGTATAAGTTGAAAAAATCATTAAGATCTGGTTACAACTTAGTAATGCTGTGAAAATTGAAAGAAAGAAAAAGAGAAGAAGAAACTATAATATCATCAATAAAATTAATGCTTTGCCCCGCAGTCATTAAGACACATAACATATATACAATCTCAATTTTGCATCATTCAACCCCAATAAATAAAGACAGAATATAGATACTTTAAAGCTGGTAGAAGTTCTCAGTATTATTGGTAGGACAGACTAAAAAATTAAAAAAAATCAGAGCCTTAACTATAGAAACTACTAAACACGAAGTAGAACTCCAATTGAACATCTAATAACATAACTTAACACATAATTAGTCCCATGGATCATTACTACAGCCAACATCTAGTAAATCTAAATTTTGTCAAGATACTCCTATCTCATAGAAATTAATACATCCAAATAAATCCGTCCAGCAACATACTAACAGATTAAGAACTTCCAATAAACCAATAAATTACATAGGTTCCAAGCATGCCCGGCCTATAGAAAATTCCCATACGAGGGCTTTCTTGTAAGCATGCTCTGCATCACTTTGCATCCATAATTGAAATAAGATTTACTCACCTGGAATATAATTCACACAGCTCGGCATTAAATGCCTCATTCTGTTTGCTTACACCGTATCTGAAATATTGAACCAAAAATAAATAAACAACTAAAGGAGGAACAAAAAATAACCAACCACAAGATAACAGTTAACAATGTGGAAGAGAGAGAGAGAGAGAGAGAGAGAGCCACAAGATAACAGTTAACAATGTGGAAGAGAGAGAGTGTGTGTGTGTGAGAGAGAGAGAGATTTTGCACCCTTGACTTTCTAAATTTTAGAGGACACCAACAATTTATAAATTTATGAGCCCAAATCATCTGAGCAAGAATATGATCCCTCAGTCACTCTACAAAGAAAAACAAGGCAATTACAGCCATATAATGATTTACATAAGTTATTTGTCCAATATTTCAGTATTGACACTGCAAGGGCAAGTAAAAATTCTTTTTGAAATTGAATTTTTGCACATAATGCATTCCCCTGACTAAAACATTGGTGAAACAAATTTGAATTCTAAAACAATCACTTGAGGCCCGGTAAAGCTCCAAATATTTGACACAATTAAGTGATTTCTTTATTGAATCTTGGAATATTATAAGCTTTATAGAATACCCAATCATTTTTCAAGCCTTTTACTAAAAGCAACTACATTCATTATCTACTTCTATACCTATATACAGCCCAAATTTAACCAGAAGCTATTTAACCCAAGGAAAAAATAAATTAAATAAGAAGATAATAAAAAGCTGCGGTTACAAATTAAAAAAGCTGCGGTTACATATAATTGGACAGCAAGATCCATGATTGTCTATAGATTCAAAGTATTATTAGTTTAAACTAAGCACCATCTTGAAACTTACACTAACAGAAGAGAGTAATAGCTAAACGAATGTGTATAGACAATCATTCTTGTTTGCAACTACAGGATGTGTATATTGTGTGTGTTCATATTTATGTAGTTATATAAAACTAACTTGTTTGCAATTCTTTCGATATCCTCCTTCTTCACTGCCCCCGGATCATCGGAACCAGCCACATAATTGTGCAAATTAACTGCGGCAACTTCCGGAACGCAAGAATTCAGGGCGTACGCAGCACCAGCTCCGGCGACACCGAGCACAACGGCGCCTCCCAGACCGGCTCTCCGATCACCTCCAAAACGAAACCCTAATCCATATCCGGCAACAAGAGCACCAGAGAGAATCAGAGCCGTACTTGCTAACCTGATCGGAGGTGACATGGATTCGGCAAGCGATTGAAGCCCAGAGAGCTCCCTCTTGCCCCCAAATACATTGAAGCTATCCGACTTGGTGACCACCGGCTGGTCCGAAGAATCGGAAGAAGAGCACCGGACGGTGGAGATTCGATATTGATATCGATACCGTACGTGGTGGTGGTTTCTAGAGAGGAAGAGAGAGGGCGCTTTTGTGATTCGGAGTGGAGAGGGGTTGATGAAGGGACAGAAAAGGGTGGTGGGGTGTGGAGAAGAAGGAGATGATATGAGAATGGATGGGATCATGATCTCTGTGAGTGTGAGTGTGAGTGTGAGTGTGTGTAGATATTTATATATATATATTCTTCTTCTGAATAGGGAATGCGTAGAGGGATGCGAGGGTTTGTTGAGTGAGTGTGGAGGTTTTTAGGGTTTAATGAACAGAGGGAGGAAGGGGGAAAGGAAGAGGATAGCGAGGCAGATGAGGAACGGACGGAGATATAGATGAATTGAAGGGTTAAAAACGACAATGGAATTCGCTGCAGGACAAAATATTATATTTACACAACAAAAAGATAACATTAATTGTAAGTAAATATATTCACGAAAAAAAATATGAGTAAAAGTAAAATTATCAAAAATAAATAAATAAAAATTTATATAAATTCCTACCGTACAAAAGGCTTATTTATGAGTAACTCATTTTTTTTTTTTTTCCTGAATTTAAGAGTAACTCATAGACTGCATTAAACGGTTAAATGCGTATGAGAAATTTCTTAATTTTTATTTAGTAGATGGCTTTTTCTTTTTTCTTTTTTCTTTTTTCTTTTTTCTTTCTGGTAAATAAGATGGCTTTTGTTGATCATGGAAAGAAATTGCATACCTGTTGTTCAATAAAATTAAAAAGTTTTAAGAGGTAAACTTTAGGTACTGAAATATTTAAGTAGTAATTAAAAAATAAATATTTTGGATAATTTGCATTACGCTCTTTGAGGTTTGGGCAACGTCACTCAATAGACGGTGAACGCACTAATTTACATTGACACCTCTGAGATTTCAAAAGTCATATTTACCCTCATCCTTAAATCATTACCACTGTTGCCGCCCCCGCACATACACTGTCGCCACCCTACACACAGAGCACCGCACCCCAAACACCACCACCGCCACACACGCACTGTTGGGATTTATATGCCCTGGCATAGCAAATTCGTGTTTGGATTGAAGTGACATATGTTCCTGACGTTTCTGAAATATTTATGTTTTATACAATTGGTGAATTGAATGTATTATATTTCGATTCATTATAGAATTGATAGTGTCCATTTGATTACAAGAGATATTTATATATATGTATGTGATGGCAATCAATGTATGATATATAAATAGTAATCATAAATGGTTCATAGTCGGTAATTATGGATGGACTCATAATTAATTAAGATTTGAACTGGATCCGCGTTAGGTTGAGATATATTGCGAGAGCCGTCGTATGCAATTGCTCCCTATCACCGTCATGGCATTTGACTCTTAAGTATGAGAAAATTATAGACTCTTTTATTAATTAATAATTACTTTGATTTGTTCGGTAGATTCTTCGGGATCCTTAGACCGACACTTTGGGTAGTTATGTAATTAATAATTAGAGAGTTATATTTTCAATATTTGCATCATTGTTACTTGTATTGATTATGGTTGATCACAAAGTAAATTCGAAGGCCTTCGTGTGTTTTTAGACAAAATGATTTATTATATATTTATTTATTTAAATTATTATTTTTGTTAAACAAATGTTTTATTGTGATCGAGTCAGAAAGAATCAAAGGTACCAAAATAAATATATTAATTAAGTAGTCGGATTGATGGCTTTATTTATCCGATAACTAATTATGCATAGAGGGGTCAAAGTGCAATATTGACTTAGAGGTTATTTATTATTTAATTGGAGTTCAATTAATTTCTTTTAGTGGAGTAGGAATTAATTTATGAATTAATTGAATTGGGTCCATGGACTGGGCCAATTATTAATTCATTGTAGCCAATAAAATAATAGGCCCAATGGATTCTCACTCATAGCCCAACTTGATATTGGAATCATATTAGATTTGAGACATGTGAATTAGAGATTGAGAATGATTAGTTGTTTCCTTTTCTTTACCTTTATGTTGCCTATAAATATACATGGTCTATGTATATTTTAGGGGTGATTTTTATGTGAAGGAAAAAGGAATAAATTTTTGCTCTCTAGAAAATTAGGGTTAGTGTTCTCATCTAATGGAGGCTCCCACAAGCCTATTTTTCCAAGGTCATTCATGGAGGCTTATGAGTGATTCCTAAAGGCAAGACCATTACCAAGAAGATGGAGATCCATGAAAAATGTGTCCAGCAAAAGGGATCTACAATAAGTGAGAACATTCACTTTAGAGGAAAGATCTAAGATTTACTCAAACCTTGATGTAAGTATTCAATCTTTTAATTGAATGATACATCATGTTTTATTTTTACATAAAACTTGTCTCTATGTGATGAATCAAGATTTATGAATTAAAATCCCTCGAAAACTTTTTAAAACTTGCACGTTTCCGAACACGCACAACACCACAACCGCCACCGAACTCGCCACACCACCACAAACACACAGAGCACCATAACTGCCGCCGAACTTGCCGCACCACAACCGTCGCCACAAACACACAGAGCATCATAACCGCCGTCGGACTCGTTACACCACAACTAACACCACAAACGTTGTCGGACTCGCCGCACCACCACACACACATACATACAACACAACACCCCAAACACCCCCATCGCCACACACACATACACATTGCCACACATACATACACACCACTACACACACACACACACAGAGCACCACAACCACTGACACACACACACATAACACCACAACCACCGCCATGTCAAACACGCCTCCGGACTCGCCGCACCAAACACACCTCCGAACTCGCCCGATTTGAACGAGAGAGTTCGTCATTACCAATCTCCGAGCATTCAATCCATCAACAGTTCTGATCTGATCTCGCACGCGTGGCAGTCATCGAACGACATTCAATCCTTCAACAGCTCCGATCTGATCTCGCAGCGTACCTTGGTGGCCGCGGATGTGGTTGGGGAAATGGAGCGGCAGGTGCAAAGAGAGAATGGGTGGTGATATGGGGTTTGGTATTTCAGAATACTGTAAAATAAAGGGTATTTTGGTCCTTTCAAAATTTAGTTTATAGAGTTATATTAGTAATTTACACTTTTTATGTATTAGTCGACCAAGTCAAAAGTTAAAATAGTCATTTTCTCATGTAAAGGGGGTGTGTATGAACACTTTTAAAACCTCAAGAGGTGTCAATGTAAACTAGTGCGTTGACCTGCCGCTATTTGGTGTTGACCCAGACCTCAGGGGGTGTGAGTGCAAATTATCCAATATTTTTTATGCTATGTTCGGTGGGAAAGAAAAAAATAGATGGAATAGAGAGAATAAGGGATGGATGAGACATCCCTGAGGAAGAAAAGATTGTATATTTTCTTTTTTTTATTCGGTGGAATAAAAGAGAAGAAAATTAACTCATAATTTACTATGGTCGTTATGAGAGAATGAGAGAAATTTTTTAATTATTTTTACCATTATATTCAATAATATTATAATTTATAAAGGATTGTACTGTAATTTAAAACTTATATAATTTAAGATAGTATTTAATTTAAAACTTTTATAATAGTTTACTTGTCTTCTCTCATTTCTTTTGCCCATTTTTGGGTGGATGAAAATTTGTAAAGGATGAAGGATGGCACATCCTTCCTATTCTCATTTATTTTCTTGTATCATCTCTACCGAATAAATGACGTTCGTTCCTTCCTTCTACCGAACAAAAAATTAATATCTTTTTTTAATTTTCAGTATTCAACATTAAGTGATACGTGATGCATCAATCAGATTGTCACTTAAAATTTTACTCCATTTTAAGTAGTGTTTACCGTTTTCAGCGATATTCAAATTATGTTATCAAACAAAATCCGTTCAGAATTAAGTATAAAATTAAATTATCAAAAAACACCTTAGTCTTGAGCTTTCTTGTATTGGAAAATATAGCATAATAGGAATGATTTTATTCCCTCCCTTGTTTGGTATACATTTAGAATGACAATGACCATTCTTTTTGAACAAAATTCCATTTTGAGAAATGAAAATTCATTCCACATCTAAACGGATGAAATGAAAATCCATTCCAACAAATGACATTCTTGGACGCCACCATAATTGACCACAACCACCACAACCACAACTTTCTATCACCACCACTACCTTCTGTCAGAGCCACTGACACCGTCTCACATTCTGCCATTGCCTTCCACACCATCGCCACCACCATCGTCGCCTATGCAGCCAGCACCGCATTCCGCCACACCTTCATCGTCGCCACTGCTTTCCATCGTCGCTGCCACCCTCCACGCCCACCTACACCGACATCATTTTCTGCCACCACCTTTCACCGCTACAAACCACCAACGCCACTTTCCATCACCACCATAACATCCTGCCACCATTACCACTTAGAATTGTGATTATCAATTCATTCCAACATCATTTCATATTTGCAACCAAATAAGAGAAAGAGAATGACCATTCCATTCCATTATCATTCATTCCATTCTCATTCATTTCAATCATGCATACCAAGTTAGGTTAGTATTTGGTAGTCCATTGTGGAGAAAGAGAGTTAGTTAATTAAAGAATTTTTGTTTAAATAAAATAATATTTTTAAAAGTAGTTTCAGTGGAAGGGTAATGGTGCTTACTCCAATAACAAGGTCGTATAAGGAATTGAAATGATTATATATGGGTTGGGTGTTACCCTACTTAATAGCTTAAGCTTTTAGGTCCGATCGCGAAGCACCCGACCCATTACAGTTGGTATTAGAGCCAAACCCATTCCTTGATCCAGTGAGTTATCCCGGTAATCAAGTAACCCAACCACAAGGAGAACATTGCAAGCCTCATCAATTGGGCCCTTTGAAACTGGACCATTTTATTTTTTTAAAGAAAAAGTACACTTATGAGGCATATGCGATCAGCTAAGTACCCTTTGGAATTAGACCATTCCATGAGTTACACTTGCGAATTGGCCAGGTTGGAACGTGAATTTTAAGTCCCATGAGTAAATCTATGGAACTCAGTATCAACTCGGTACCTAACTAAATCGATTAGTTCGAGTGTGAATTTTGAATTCCACTGATAAATTTACCTGGGTATTGAAAATTCATTGCTGGGCAGATGAAACATGATATCAACCCTTTCCCATATGCATACATCTTTTTTTTTTTCTTTTGGCTATCAATTTGTCCCCCTTAGTTTTCTCTAATTCATCTTTCTCTCTCTATCTTCTAAACTCTTGAATTAATTTAGGAATAATTACACTTACCTCCCTGAAGAACGTCCAAATAAGAAGGATCTCTCCTTTAATTTAAAAAATAACACTAATCTTCCCAT